CCACATGCTGCAAGTGCAGGAAGAAAAAAAAAAGAAAAAAGCCAAAAGGTACAAACTTCCAATTATAGAATTAATAAATCCGGCGATTTAATGTACAGCTTGGTGACTATAGTTAACAATACTGTTTTGTATATTGAAAGTTGATGCGAGAGTAGATTTAAAGTTATCATTGCAAGAAAAAAACATAACTATGTGTGGTAATGGATTAACTAGACTTATTGTGATCATTTCACAATATATACAAATAATATGTTGTACCCGAGACTAATATATGTTATATGTCAATTATATTTCAATAAAATTTTTAATTAAATTAAAAAAAATTTTTGAAGACAACATAAGCTTTTTCTGGGGGTAGTACTCCTAGTGGGTATATGAAACCTAATCCAGAGGACAGTGAAAGGAGAAGCAAAATACGATGCTTTTATTTAGAACAAAAATCTGGTTTCTCATGTGAACCCATTGCCCAATTTCCTTGAGACTGCCCCTAATTCTTATTAGTCCCTGGGTTAAAAGGTCTTTTGCTGGCTCACTGCATAACAGACAGTGCCACACTGGTTGTGTTTCTGCCCAGGACAGAACAGGAGGAAATGACCTTTCTTGGAAAGAGGAGGTGTGAGGCTGAGAGAAAATGCCCTGACCATGATCGACCCATGAGACACTGCACAGGCTTACTGGATCAGGGACAGAATCACCCTTCCTAGGGATTCTATCCATGTGTCTGTTGAGACACACTGATCCTTGAAAAAGGCCTCTTTACTCCTTCCATTGCAAACTGCCCAGGCTCGAAGTTCCATGTGAAGCTCATGGGTCGCTTACTGCATTTCAGCTTTTTGCTGATTTCAGGGACACAACCAGATCTCCCTGGCTGGTTGCCTTTAGGCAGAGTCATTGATGTAATGCTACTGTGTTCCTTAGAGAAAGTTCCATAAACAGCAAAGAGGGAACTAACTACTGGATTCCAATGAGTCAGCTAGCCTGCACTGCTTCAAAGAGAAGCAAAGGAAGCCATCTTCAAGGTACATTGCTGCTGTCACTTGGAGAAGCTCCAGAGGGAAGCCCTGACAGCCGAAAGCTGGGGGAGGAAGGAGGCTTTTCCAGAGTGTTGTTTCACTCTGGAAAAGTCCACTGGGGAAGAGCTTCTCGAAGAATCTTTGATGGTTCATTCTCACATTCTAGTGTTCCTGGTCAAGTCAGACAGGCAGACAGGAAAGGTCAGAAATAGAGCCATCGCCATGGGAAGGACACCAAAAGAAGGGCCATCCTTTGCATATGTGAGTTGTCATTAGACAGACAAGACCCTGCTTTTAGAAGCTGACTTCTCTGCCTCCAGGCAGAGCTGGAGAAAACCACCAGATCTGCTGCAGGCACATCCCACCGGCACAGCAGCCCTGGGCAGACCCCGGGAGCAGGAGCTGTGAAGCCTCGCAGCCACCCTCCTCCAACTCCCCACCCCAGGATCCTGCATCATCACCGGCCAATGCTGTGCCAACTGGAATCCCACCTGCCCAGCAGCCACCTCTCCGGTGCACGTGGGCACCCCTCCAGTGAAAAACACTGGCTACCACCTCTCTTCAAAGCAGATATTAGGATTTATCTGGACTCCTGCCTTCACGATGCAGTAAAAAAAATAAGAGCACAGTGATGAAAATCTCTGCGAAACCACCAAGGATTCGTCCTCTGCTGTTCCTGATTTCGAGTCTAATTTAACACCACTCTGTCTCTGACAGTGGAAAGCTTCAGATGTCTCCAAACAGTTCCTCAAGTTGGAACCTTGGCCTTTTGCTTCTCATGGAGCAGTATTCACAGAGGCTTCCTCTTTCAGGCAGATTCTGACTGCAAGCATGCTCACCCAGAGCATGCCCCTCGAATAAGACTCTGAACATGCAAGTTACAGGGTGGTACATAGTTACTGGGGCACCCAGGGGACTCAGCCCTTTGGAAAAATAAGATAGACCTCTTAATTAATAAACACTGTCCCCCCACTGGAAGCAGCCTCTGTACCTGAGGACTTCCTTCTCTAAAGAGCCTCATGACTTATTTTCTCTCTTATTTAGCCAAACTCAAATGACTGAGAAAACTGGTTTGTCTCTTCAACAGCCACTCAGCTGTCACACCTCCCAGGTACACATGGGCCTTCTGAGGCCACTCCTTACCCCATCCCAAAGCTGTGACTCTTCATTCATGCTTAAGTTCCTGCTGTGTATCGGGTACTGGTCAGGGTATGTGCTGAGCAGGATCTCCCTCGTGAAGCACAGAGCCTTGCAGAGAAGATGGATCACTAACCAGCAGTACAGCACAGAGTCAGAATGGCTGGGTTGGGAGTTCAGGGGATACTGGAGCACAGAGCAGCAAGCCCTGGTGAGTGGGTCATACCCCAGGAGGAACGAGTTTGGTTCAGCACCTTCCTTGCCATATTCAGTGAGGTCCCCATGCACATAAAATGCAAGTAGAATGGCCTTGTAGAGTGTGATCTTTACGAGAACCATATCTTATAACCTGTACTAAAAACATTTTGCATCATATTCTTTAAGAATCTATAATTTAGACCATCAGAAATCTCCGTAATTGCTGCTCTTGACCTTCAGCTCCTTAAACCACCCTTAGCAGAACAGCTTGAGAATTTCATTATGCTGTACACAGCCTGTTGGGCAGGAAGACAGCAGGTCACGGGGACAAACACACACCCCCCACACAGAATTAGAGACTGAGGATTAAGAAGAGGATCAGTAACTCTCCCAGACTTACAGACAATACTACAAAGCTACAGTAATCAAAACAGCATGGTATTGGCACAAAAACAGACATATGGATCAATGGAACAGAATAGAAACCCCAGAAATAAACCCACACACCTACCATCAATTAGGCTTGGACAAAGGAGGCAAGAATATACAATGGAAAAAAGCAAGTGGTGCTGAGAAAGCTGCATGTAAACTCCCTCACACCATACAAAAAAATAAACCCAAAATGGCTTAAAGACTTAAATATAACACATATAACACAAGACACCATAAAACACCTAGAAGAGAACATAGGCAAAACGTTCTCTGACATAAATCGTACCGATGTTTTCTTAGGTCAGTCTCCAAAGGCAATAAAAATAAAAGCAAAAGTAAACAAATGAGACCTAATCAAACTTATAAGCTTTTGCACAGCAAAGGAAATCATAAACAAAATGAAGACAACCCACAGGCTGGGAGAAAATATTTGCAAATGATGCAACTGACCAGGGATTAATCTCCAAAATATACAAACAGCTCATACAACTCAATAACAAAAGAATGAACAACCCAATCAAAAAAATGGGCAGAAGACCTAAAGACACATTTCTCCAAGGAAGACATAGAGATGACCAACAGGCACATGAAAAGATGTTCAGCATCGCTAATTATTAGAGAAATGCAAATCAAAACTACACTGAGGTATCACCTAATACCAGTCAGATTAACCATCATCAAAAAGTCTACAAATAATAAATACTAGAGAGGGTGTGGAGAAAAGGGGAACCCTCCTATACCACAGGCAGGAATGTAAACTGGTGCAGCCACTATGTAAAACAGTATGGAGGTTCCTTAAAAAACTAAAAATAGAGCTACCATATGATCCAGCACTCCTGGGCATATATCCGGAGAAAACCGTCATTCGAAAAGATAAATCCACCCCAATGTTCACGGCAGCACTATTTACAATAGCCAAGACATGGAAGCAACCTAAGTGTCCATCGATAGATGAATGGATAAAGAAGATGTGGTACATATATACAATGGAATATTACTCAGCCATAAAAAAAGAATGAAAGAATGCCATTTGCAGTAACATTGATGAACCTAGAGATGATCATACTAAGTCAGACAGAGAAAGACAAATATTATATGATATCACTTACATGTGGCATCTAAAATATGATACAAATGAACTTACCTGCAAAACAGAAACAGACTCACTGTCATAGAAAACAACTTACAGTTACCAAAGAGGAAAGGCAAGAGGGATGGATAAATTAGGAGTTTGGGATTAGCAGATACACACTACCATCTATAAAACAGATGAACAACAAGGATTTACTGCATAGCATAGTGAACTATATTCAGTATCTTGTAATAACCAAAATGGAAAAGAATCTGAAAAAGAATATATAGAGGGAGAGGGAGCTTGTGCGCACAACAGCACGCCTCTGACGAGGCTCCTCCCACTTCTCAGGGCTCGCCTCTTGTTTTGGTTCATGCCCCCAGCCTCTGCTCAGGCTGCCTCTGTGCCTGTGTGCCTTTCCATGCCACGCCCACTGCCCTCCAGTTGGCAAACCCCTCTTCCACTTCCAAGATTTTGTCCAGTCATGACTTCAAGGCAAGCTTTTTCTACCCTCTCCCCGTGCTGCCTCACCCCCTCTGTAAAATCAACCCCTACCCCCTTGGTGCCCCAAACGCCCCCATTATATCGCCGCTCACTTTATCATTGTGGCTCACTTTATTACACTTGACCGTTGTATTGTTAATTGTGGGGGGCTAAGATCGTGTCTTATTCAAAATTATCTGTGCCTGGTCGTCCAGACCTTTTTCACATCAGAGCACATAGGAAACGATAATATTTCTGTGGTACGAGAGGCTGCTGGTGACAGAGATCAGTCCTCAGCACACCTTTATAACCCAGGCAAAGCTTAAACACACCAGTTGAGGAGCTCTGCTTAAAAGACTCTCAGTTAATGTTGATTGAAAAACAATGAGTCAGTCGGTCTGTTTATAGGATTAAGAGATATCTGGAATTAGGCAAAAAAGATCTAAGAAATCAGTGAAAGGAATGGTCCTATAGAAAAAAACATAATGAGTGAACATGGCCCAGCAGAAGGATAAGTATGTGGATTTCTTACCCACATGGTCAGGGTCTCCTTGACCAATACTAGACTCCATCCCCAAGCTGACCTACAGCACTGCTTTCCAGGCACCTGGTCTGTAATCAAGCCGAGCTGCTTGCTCCCCGCTCCGTGCAACTCCCTTGCTTACCTGCCAACAGTCAGCCCGTTTGTCTTGGCCTCTCTCTCCAGCACAGCCTCCTCTCCACGCGTGCCACCCACTAGGACGACAGCCGCCCATCTCCATGGCCACCTCCAACTGAAGACCCCTGTGCTCCCGCGGGCAGGCACGGCCTCTCGCACTTCGGCCTAGTGTTGTGCCTGTCTTCACACGCCCTTGTCCGAGTTCTTTTTGTCTCCGATCCTGTCAACGAGATATAAGTTTCATGTGGTTGAGGACAGTCCTTCTCATTGTAGTCTCTCCTCCTTTACCTGTAATAGGTACAAATAAGTGTATATTGCATTGAATAAAATTTCCCAGGTGGCTGTGAAAAAAACAGGTTCCTGTCTAACAGGGAGGTGGGGGACTTGCCTGTCCAGGGAGGAGCCAACGTCTCGTAGCCTGCTGGGTCCCAGGAAATACCCCTTATAGTAAGCTGCACTCAGCCTTCTTATTGCAGGGATTCATAAATCAGGCAATCCTATACAGAGCAGAGCCAGACCCACTGTCCCCAGATCCATTATCTGGGTAGTAAGTAATCCAGACTTCGGCCTGCAGGCCTGGTGAGCCAGAGCAGGGGGAGAACCCGAGAGCAGCAGCCCCAGGGGGGCATGAGAATCGGAAGTGAAGCCCCAGTTCTGTGCAGCAGAAACAGCTTCCTGCAGAGCTGCAGGGAAGGTCGGGGAGACTAGGAGGACAGGGCGGAGTGTTAAAGGGTGAAACTGCTTGTCCAAGCCCTGTGGGGCATCCACGGGGTTAGTCAGTAGTCAGCCGCCCCCTTTCCCATACAGTTTCTGAAAGGCAAAATAGAGGAGTATTGTGGAGTTCCTTAGAGCAAGTAAATAAATGCCAATTTCCTGATAGCCCTGCACTCTTTGAAGATGTACTGCCCTGAATCGTAGGCCACCCCTAGGCCGTGTCCTGATGTTCACACATGCACTGGAGTCAAGTCCCATCCCAATCCTTCCATGCTGCCGTCAGTAGTACTTCCAAACAGTGGGGCTTTGGTTGGAGGGAGATAAACCCTTCAAGCAACCTTCTTGCGTTGAATGGTAATTCTTGTCTCCCCTCTCCTGCTCAGCCAGGCCTCATGCTTGTGGCGAATCTGTTGAGCATCCTTGCGTGTGCACTGGAAGACGTACCGTTCCCTGTCATGACAAGGGACTGCGTCTCCCCCTGGGTTTGGGGATGTCTGCTCAGACTGAGAAGTCTGATCTGTATTCCCCCAAGCTCCGCTACCTCTGTCTTTGCTTTAGAATTTGGAGAATGAAATTTCTGGTAATGCTTTATTGCCGAGACATTGCCGAAAGTTTCCAGTCATCAGGAAATGTGTCTCACGTTCTGTTAACAGCGGAATCCCCGTCCCCGGTGACCGCCAGTCCTGCACTGATGTGATATGCCCTCTTCCCCCTACAGGCACAGAGGGTACACAGGAAGTGCCCTAAACCCAGCAGAGCTCACCACGCCTCAGAGCAGAAAGCTGGGTCCACGCCTTCTCCGAGTGCCGCTGCACAGAGCCGGACCCCTGACAGCGGCCCGCAGCCCCCGATGGACACTTCAGACCTGGGGCTCGGCCAGACAGGCCTGCCTACCCGGCAGCCGCAGGACTTTGTCAGACCAGCCGGCAGCCCTCCCAGCCTCCCCTGGTCTTTCCAGAGAAGCAAGTCCTTGTTTTGTTTGCCCACGGGAGACCCCTCCCCGGCCTCCTCAGCTGAACCACTGTGCTTTGCAAACACAGACGGCCCGGGACAGAGGGCGTCGGAGCGGAGGCACGGCCACCTCCTCTCCATCGATGACTTAGAGGGGGCCCAGGAGACGGACGTGGACACGGGGCTGCGGCTCTCCTCCTCCGACCTGTCCGCGGTCTCTGCGTACTCTGCACCCAGCAGGTTCTGCAGCCCCGTGGAAACACTGCTCCCCTCCGAAAGGTGCAGCAGCCTCTGGTCAGAGCACAGGGCTTCCAGAGAAGGACCCTTGCCCTCTGGGGGCGGCGTGACCACAGAGGCCTCCTGGGCTGCCCTCCCTCTGTTCACCAAAGGGCCTTCCAGCTCCTCGGCCACAGCTGTCACCACTTCCCCAGCTTCCGACACCTCCTGGCTCCCAGAGTCACCCCCAGAACTCCCTTATGATGCTCCCGACGCCCAACAGACTGGCAGAGGCGTCCTGCCACCCTCAGTGCTGGCCGGAGGCGCGGACAACGACGCGGAGGAGGAATTCTACATCTGAACACACCCCACTCTTGTCTTTCAGACCCACAGGCTCAGGTGCCCCTGCCCCTCTGGGGTCTGCACGCCACCCGTGTTCTCGGCCCCGCGTCCCCAGGTCCCTCCGGAATCTAATTATCTGTCTCACGGGGTCATTATTAGCACGTTTGACACACCACCCGTTACCTGCAAGGTGGCGGGCTCAGTGGAAATATACTGGGATTTTTATGCAAATAAATTCTCAACAAACTTAAGGCATAAAATATATGTTTTGAATACTCAGTTCCATTTGAGATATGGTTTGGTGCACTTATTTAAATGCTTCATATAATTATTTGAAATGGAAAGAAAACCTAGTCAGCTGGAGTTGATTTCACAATTTTTCATGCTGGGAAGGAAAAACAATTAAAGCCAAAAACACGTTGAATGTGAGAAAGATACCAAGTGACTTGTATGAGAGATTAGTGCACATAATTCCACCTTACTGGATTCTCCATCTCTGTTTACCTTACCAGGGAGCAGTGGCCCTGAGAATTTCCAGGTACCGTTACAGTGAAAGGAGTCATTGTAGTGCATTTATAATACGATTCTGAGTTCCAAAAACTAGATTTGCACACATCTTTCAAACACATTCACTGTAACAGTTGGGGGTCTACAGAAGACTCCGCTACCTAGATTTGCCTGGATCAATGAGGAAGAATCGTTCTTGGAGTTACAGAATAGTAGGTTTTTAGATATAGTGGGCGGGTATTCTTAAGTTGCTTCAATTTTTAAAACCACAATCCAAGGGCTATACGTACACAGATCTATGTAAATGACAGGAGCCGTATTTTGCACTGCTTTCTCCAGTAAACATGCATCATCACACACCCTTTTTCATTTTTAAATAATTCATAACACTTTTAACTGGCATTTTGATTGCACAGGTTAATAAATGCACTCCCCTCTTCTCCAAGCGGGAAGCTGTACACAGAATGCTGTCCTGAACCAACACTGCTGCACGTGTGCGTAGGAGCCTTAATTAAAGCTGGAGCTCTAACCTGACCTTGGCCTTTCCCGCCATTGCCTGCTTCTGCCACAGCGTGAACAGTATTTAAATCTCACCTCTCTCCCACTCCAGTAAGGGTATGTTTACAATTCCAGCCTCTACGGTGCCAAGTGCTGGTGTCAGGGACAACGCCGAGCTGTCCCTAGTTGCTGTATACCTTTGGGGAAGAGCATAGACTTGCCTTGCTTACGTCCCACTCTGGTGCTCCCTGCCTGAATGACTCACGGCCCCGTTTACACCTCTCTGGAAGCGCCCACACCAGCCCAGACACAGCTTCGAATCCTCTTCAACACAGTCCTCCCGGCAGCCGTTACCAGCTATCAGACTCGAGCTGAAGCCTCAAGTCTTTGCCATCCCTGTAATGAGAACCTTACCTCCTACCCCGAACATCCCGCATATTCCAGGACTCCGAATTACAATATTCTGCTCTGATTTAAGTAAATAAAAATATGGTCTTCTGGGCTTCCCTGGTGGCGCAGTGGTTGAGAGTCCGCCTGCCGATGCAGGGGACACGGGTTCGTGCCCCGGTCCGGGAGGATCCCACATGCTGCGGAGCGGCTGGGCCCGTGAGCCACGGCCGCTGAGCCTGCGCGTCCAGAGCCTGTGCTCCGCAACGGGAGAGGCCACAACAGTGAGAGGCCCGCGTACCGCAAAAAAAAATATATATATATATATGGTCTTCTATAATTCTAGACCAGGAGTGAGCAAAATTTTTTAAAGGGCTAAATAATAAACACTTCCAGTTTTGCCAGCCAGTCTCTGTCATTATAGTGCGAAAGCAGCCTATGATATATAAATGAATGGGAGCGGCTGAGTTCCAAGAAAATTTATTTTACAAGAACAGGTGGAGGGTCAGGTTTCGCCCAAAGGTCGTAGTTTGCCAACCCCCGTGCTAGACTGACGTTGATTTGAGAGCTCAGCCACGGTCAACGATAAAGAACAGAGGGTTGCATCCCTCTGCTGCTGTGGTGCCCGAGACCAAGAAAATACACCCTAGGGGCCACACTGGTGACTACAGAACCACTCAGAGGGCTCAGAGCAGCATGGGGCTTCTTTCCGCAGAGATGATGCCTAGAAGGCCGCTGCCTATCCACCTGCTGCCCGGAAATGTGACTCACAGACAGTAGCTGATGATACAAAACAACACGCTAATCACTCAGGGTGCTGACGCAGCCCCAGGGAGCAGAAGTCAAGCTCAGGATAGCAAAAGTCACCGAGGCCTCCACGAGGAGACCCGCGGCCAGGTGGCGGCTCCTCCTGTCTTCATCCTCATCAGTGCCCTTAGTTCAGAATATTCACACACACCCCCGACGGATGCTTCAGGGCACGGCTCTGACGCGCTCTGCCCCCGTCCTGTCTCACCGACCCCTGCGCCTTAGCACAGTGTAGTCTATCAAACGGAGTGACCCCAAAGATGTCAGCAAACCCCTTCAAAAGCAGAAAATGCAAGACGCCCGCCATAACACAAGGGGAGAAGGGGAGAGAAGCCCACCGCAGACCACACTCAGATGCTCCCCTCCCCACAGACGGCAGTCCCTCTGAGGAGGAGTCACAGAGACACTGCTGAGGGCATCGCTCCCTTTTCTGACCTACCGCTAGCATTGTCCTCATCCAGGAGGGCTCCTGATACCCACTGGTAGATCCTGACTCTTTTGGATTATTATTGTGATAGATGCTGACATACTGTAGGTGCTCAATAAATTTGTTCAATTAAAAACAACATTGAGGTTGTCTCATAAATTTATTTTTCTCCTGGATTTGGCTCTGTGATGGAGGACATCTAGACTTTAACCCTAGTTTTTTGTTATTTAATGGACAAAACGTCTCCTTGACCTTGCAGTTCCCCCTAACATTGCCCTGGGGGGGCGGGGGTGTTAGTAAGTGCCCTGGTCTAGTTCACAGCCCATCCCTTACTTGCCTCTTTTCCACATAAGACTCCCCAAATTACTACT